GTCACTGTGAGTTGGAATTAATGCAAGGGCAACATGTTTGTTTGTCTGACACAAAGCTTATTGTCTCTTCTTAATGACAAATGTTTTAACCAAGGCAGAGCTGCACCAGGCCACCGTGGAAAACAGGCAGCATAGTGCATCACATTTACAAATTAAAAACTGTGCCCCAAATGCCATGTAAGTATCTAAAAGTCACTGAACTACAGAGAACGAAGACTTCTTTGGTTATTAATGAGTTGGCAAGCATTCTTTGGGCTGTTCTATCAAATCCTGGCAAGAAACCCCAGGCCAGTGGGAAGGGACAGAGCTGTATTTTATCTCTATTCTACAAATATTTACTAAATGAGTGAGCTCTTGGTGATGGAGTGAGATCCCATGGGAAAATCTCTGCAGAAAGAATGTACCAGCCTCAAGCCTATGCAGAGCAGAACGTGAAGGAAAAAACAAGCCCCCGATTTCCCACCGCTGAGCAGCTATGTAATGAGGTGAGCACCGGGTACCACACTGGTCTGTGCTCACCTTCTGTAAAAGTGTCGGTGTTACCGTGATGTATGAAAATATATTTCACCGGAAGAAGGCAGTTCATCTAAAAGGGCGTGGGCATTCTAAGTGTTAATCAGTCAGGAGAAAGGCGTGTGGGAGAACTTCCACAAGGTAAAAAGGAACGTCCTCCCTGAGCCTACCACCTGGCGGTCCAGGCTTTGAGGCCTGACTGGTCCTGGGGCCTGTTCCTGAGACAAGGACCCAAGCTGGAAGCCACCGCACAGAAGCAGACGCAGAGTTTCTGGGGGCGAAGTAGGACAGGGCAGGGCCCACAGCCTCTGGATAGAAAGTCTTATCTTACGAGCCAGACTTGGCCTCTCTCCATTGTCAATCCTGATATGTTGAAAGTGGTAGGGAGGTGGCTGTCAAGTTAGTGAGACCCCACAGAGAAGGGGTTCCCTGGGGGAAAAGGCCAGCACTCTTTTTCTCCCGTCATGGCCAACTCCATCACTGCCTGGTCTTAACTAATTAAAGGAAGACAGAAAGCTCTCTGGAGTCAAAAAGGCCCAAGCTCGAAGGTGCCTCCTGGCAGTAAACTTGTAGGTACAACCCAACAGCAGAGGTGGCCAGAGGTCAGCTACGAGAAAGGCAGGTGAGCTGGGTTCAAGTCAGTCCCTGCAAAACTGTGAGGAGATCCAGCTGGGGCCCTCCTCCCTCACCCCTGCCGTCAGGGGCCACTGAACTGGCAGCTCTAAGGCCTGGGTTCTCAGCCCTCCCAGAAAGGTTGTGATTGAATATGGGGCTGGTGAAGGCCAAAAGCTCTGCACACTCAATGGAATAAAGGGTGAGCCACAGAATTAATGAGGACAGAAGTGACATTCTGGGACGGGGGTTATAACAAAAGATACCAAGCAGTAGGCTTCCGATGCTTCACTTTATTTAATCCTCACAACTAAGCTGTGAGCACATCCTCATTTTCACTGCAGGGAAATAGACTCAAAGAGCCTATCTAATTTGGAGTAGTAGAGTTTATAAAAACAAAACAAGAAAACCAAACCCAGGTCTGCCCGATTTAGGGCTTGTGTGAAATCTAGACCATTCCAGGATCCCATGCTAGTTTCCCTTCTCCAAAGTCTGACAGTTCATTGCAGGACAATGTGATCAGTGCTTGAGACAGAGATGCAGGGTGGTGGTGGGGTACACACATCTTAGCCAGCCCCGAAAGTCCAGCAACCCTTGCAGGAGGCATTTCACCAGCACTTATGCAAAGAATAAAGTTAAGAAATTTTAAATGCTTTACCAAAATCCCTTAGGAACCAGGATGACGCTAAACATTAAAAACAATTTTCAGTTCGTAAGGCACGGGATCTTACCTCAGTGCAATTCCAGGGTTTTCTAACAGTACGCCGTAGTCTCGGGAAATTTGTTTAGTTAAATCTGATAAGACCGGGATGTTCATGTGGCCCAAACCGCCATTCTAATAAAAATGCAAACGTGACTGGTTACACTATGTGGTTTCACATCCTTGACCATGTAACACAATGCGAGGCCCACAACAATGGGGGTTCTTTCTGGTGACTCTTTCACCCAGGCAACCACCCAGCAGCAGATACCACCATCTCCTGCATTTGGCAGAGGAGCCAAGTGAGGTGCGCAAAGGTTCACTGACGCCCCAGCTCACAGCCAGGAAGGGGCAGAGGCAGGATGTGAGTCCCACTAACGCTACAGACCTTTCTGTTTCCAAGTCTTCCAGCTAAGTTTTAGTTGAGCACTAATTTCTAAAACCTGAAAATGGAAGCGTGACACAGAAATCTTTTGGATAATTAGATAGTGCACCAGCGTAGATAGAAATTTGGAGCCTTCCAAGCAAGTCTGTAGGCAAGAATACATCGTGCAGAGAGAGAGCAGAGGACCTGAGCATCGTCCCCCAATCCATGAAGCACAGGGTACCACGGAGCTCAGGTGAGAGCGGGCAGCGGGCCACCGCTGTTCCCTGCCCTGCCTCACCTGCTCTCCACGGCTGCCTGTGCCTTACGAACCACGCGTGGGACAGCGAGGAAACACACAGGTGGTGCTTTCTGGACTCTCCTCTGCCACATCAGGACAGAGTTTCAGCAGAACGTGTGCTGAGTAGGTGTTGTTATTGTCAGGTGTCACAGAGTCAATTCTGACTTCTAGCGACCCTGTGTACGCCAGAACATGACACTGCCCGGTCCCGCGCCAGCCTCAGAACCCGCGCCGTATCTGAGCCCACTGCTGCAGCCTGTGTGTCAACTCATCTCACGGACGGTCTCGTGAATAGGGAAGAACCTACAAATAGCCCGTCACAGACAACCTGCTTCAACAACTTCGAGGCTGGTCTAGCGGGGAGCTCTTGTTTTTAACATTATCCATGCAAAGGCAGGGCGTACAGCATCATACCTTCCTCGGTGTATTTATCCATGCAAGATGGCTGAAGTGGGAATCTACCGAAATGGCAATGACTTCACAGTTCACGTCGTGAAATTCATTGGCTTTGTCACTAAAAGCAATGATTTCTGTAGGACACACAAAGGTGCTGGGAAAAAAAGGCAGAAACTCTCATCAGAGAACTAGAAACAACGATTTAAGACAGGAACCAAAAGCAGTCTAAAAGCTATTCCAATCTGCTTCAGGGTAAAAAAGGTAAAACGGTTAGCCATGCTCACAGGATGCCCGGACACAACGCTACTCTAGCTTTACTGGAAGAAAAAACTATTATCTCCTATGACCTTTTTATTGTAGAAATCTTATCAAAAAATGAGGGAAGGTGGATTCTAAGATGAAAGTAAAATCTTATTTACATAGATTTAGTGTTCATGAAATAACATATCATTTTATGCTTCTCACTTTTCTCATTTTCCCCCAGATCAGTGAAAACTTCTTACAGGCTGATTTGCAGAAGCACAAGAAATACAGCCATATCAGTGAAAGGACGGCCTCTCCACCCCTAAGGTTATCACTAGTGAAGGAGCTGCAGAGGCCAACTGTAATCCACAAGGCCATCAGTGGCCAGGGTCAGAAGAATCCTTCTTTGGGAGGAGGGTAACCAGAGAGGTGACTTCAGTGGGAAGCAGGGGTCTGGGTTTGACACTTACAAATCCAAAGGGTAGAAGAAAAGCACCAAGTACTTCCCCTTAAAGTCATCAAGGCTCAGGTCTTTGAACTCTCCATTGACCACGGCTGTGCCCTTAAAATAGGGCGCGTGCTGGGTGACGGCAGGAGCCAGGCAAGAAGAACCTGCAATGACCAAGCACGTGGCACAGATCACCATTTGTGGAAGCAAGCACCCATTTCATTTTTCCTAAAACATTCACAATAATTAATTAGCAGTATAAATCAATCAGAAGGAGCCATGGTGATGCAGTGGTGAAGCAGCTGGCTGCTAACCGAATGGTCGGCGGTTTGAAGCCACCCAGTGCCTCCGTGGGAGAAAAGACCCGACGTCTGCTTGTGGGGATACGATTCCCTTGGAAGCCCTGTGGAGCAGTCTCACTGTGTCCTACAGGGTGGCTGTAAGTCAGGGCCCCGTACAACTCCAACCGAAATCAACTGCGAAGCTCGGCTCAACTGCACATCTTTGACTCAGCACCTTTTTTTCCCTTTCCTAGTCCTAGAATGTATACAAATTCAGTTCAAAGTGCCATGGGAACAAAAAAGAGCAAAGCAGAATGTAGTAGGGATGGAATTAGGGAGGACGGGAGACTAGAGAAAGATTCTAAATATGGTTCAGATTTGCGAGGCCCAGATGGGACGGGGCGCGCAGACGGCACAGAGGGAGGGAGGAACAGGGCATGCGTATAAAAAGCCCAGGGTGCTGTCGATCAGAGCAGGGCCATCCGTGGGTGGAAGGCACAACAGCGGGGGACAAAGCAAGCAAGCATGGTCGAAGGTCATACTGTGAAGGTCCTTAAAAAGCAAGTTCATGAGTGTGCTCTGAAAAGAAGACGAGCCACTGAGGTATTTAAGTGGGAGACCCAAGATGAGTGGGGTGGTTTTAGGAAGATGAGTCTGGCGGGGTGGGGGGCAGGAGGAGCAGAAGGAGAGACTATGTTAGGAGGTGACTGCAGTTATCTATGTGAGGGCTGTGGCGGGGAGGCCTGGGGCAGAGAGAAGGAAAGGAGTGGATGCAGGAGATGTGTAAGAACCGGAGAGAACGTGAGTCTGCCTGGGAAGACAAAAGGGATGAGTGTCAGAATGCTTGGCTTCAGCGTGGGGCTGCCCTGGACAGAAACAGGAGGAGATGGCGGGGGTTGTAAACCTGTGGAACCAAATCACTACTAGAAAATCCTTTAAAGTTCCAGAATCATAAACCTGGGCCCCTTTTCAGCATCCAGAAACAAAGGCTTTGCTAAGTATATGATTTTAAATACCTGCTTTTTCAAAGGTGGACACATCTAGAGGGCAAATCTTCTCACTGTGTGAGGCTGTTCTCAGCCAAGCTCACATCCTAGAGAACAGAGGATAAACCTCCAGAAACAGCTGTGTTCCCCACACCGCTCATGGACTCCACAGCAACGGTCTGGTTCCTAAGTGCCAGCTGACAGGCTGACCATGCCCAACCATGTTTAGAGGGGCTGCCCACCACCAGCTCTTGGACATCCATTCACACACATCAGGCCCGAAAGACATCTGAGTTCTTCCTCTCAGGCCCCTCAACATGTTGGTGTTAGGTGCCTTCAAGTCAGTTTCAACTCCTAGAGACCCCAGGGGACAGAGCCAAGCTGCCCCACAGAGTTTTCTAGACTATAATCCTCATGGGAACAGATCACTAGGTCTTTTCTCCCTGTGCAGCCACTGGGTTTGAACCACCAACCTTTCAGTTAGCAGCTGAATGTTTAGCCATTGCACTACCGGGTGGCTTCAAAATTAGCACACTAAAAAATAATTCTGTCAACCAACAAGGAAACATGACACAGACAAACACATTGGGCCCCAGTGATTCACCACCCTGGCCCATGTGAGACTCACCCAGGGAATTTGTTAAAACACTAATGTCCTGGACTCACGCCCAGAAATGGGTTTGTCTGGGGCGGGACTAGGGCTCTGGTTAAGTTTGGAAAAGCTCCCCAGGTGGGTCTAACATTCAGAGCCTCTGGTCCAGAGATGATAATTCAAGTGTCCTTCATCTGGGTCCAATCAAGACTTGGTAACACTTACTGGTGCTAAAGGCGCATTTTGCTTGATGAGAACCAGACCACAAAGGGTTTGTCAAGCACTTTCTTCCAGAAGCAGCAGGTCTAAGGGCTGCAGAGGCAGAAATGCCCCGAGGAATGGTGCTCACTTGGCGAGCAACCTGGGAAGAGAACCACTTTATATTAGGAAATGTTTCTGCAAGAGTGGCTGAGGGCTGGCTCCACTAAAAGGGCATCATGCCCAGGGCAGCCTTATTGCCCTTGCCCGTGAACCACAGTATGGATTGAGTCTCCGTGTCCTTACCATCCTGTTCCACTTCCTTCCCTTCAAGAATGCAAGGCTGAGGGAAACAGAGGAACACAGGGGCTCAAGAATCAAAAGCTCCAGCTCTGACAGTAACACAGAGTTCAACCCCCAGAAGGACTTGGCAGGCCTGTGTGTTGAAGCCCTTGACCTGCACTATCTGCCGAGCAAGTTCTTAGAAAAGACAAGGCCCTTCTAGCGCCAAACAAGCAAACTAGCAGAGCAAAGGTCAGCCTTTGGAAGCGTTGGTGGGGGCTCAAGCGAAGTGTTTGCTCCATTTTAAAATCCAGCATGACGCACGACGGGGAAGGCGCCTGCACTGAACCCCACCATGAGACAGGGGGAGGGGTGGCAAGAGGGCCGCAGGCTTCGGCCGAGAAAAGCAGAGACACACAGCAGCGGCCGATCTGTGGGCGGGGGGCAGCACGGGCTCTTCGTACTTCAGCACTCGGCACGTTTGCATCCGTTTACGTGGGTGCTCACAGTAACCCCGTAATGTAATCATTCTCTTCATCTTATGATGAGGAAAGTAAACTCAGGTTAAGAAAGGCGAAGTCACCCGCCCACGGTCACGGTCACCTACAGCACTGGGAAGAGGTGCTTAGGCGGAGAGAAGACTGGGGATTCGCGACTCCGAGCGAGGAAGGATGGACGGGGCATTAGACAGACAGGAGGAAATGGGGTGGAAGCAGGGCGGCTCTGCGCATGCGTACGGAGCCTTCTCTAGAAGGTCTCCGGGTCTGCTACCCGCTGACCCCTCCAAGAATGGCGAATGTCCCCAGGCAGCAGGAGAGCGGGACCTTATCTGGAAAGCGCGTCCCCAGAGCCATCGCAGTGTCTCCGTGCCTCTTCCCACCCAGGAGCCACTCACCGATGCCCAGAGTAACCTTCCCGTAGCAGCCGCCATCTTCACTGCGCGCTGCAGGCGCGTGGCTTGCGGAGACTATGGGGCGGAGCCTGCGGCGATGGGAGGGACTTTGTGAGGAGGGCGTGTTCTCTGCCGCGGGGTTGGGGGGGCGGACGAGGAGGAGCCACCGACTTCCCGCCTTTTGGGTATCCTCTCCGAAATACCTAAGAAATCAGATGCTGTATTGCATTGGACAATTCTGCTGCAAAAGATCTCTTTAAGGAGTTAAAGAGCAAAGACGTCACTTTGAAAGCTAAGGTGCGCCTGATCCAAGTCATGGTATTATCTTTTCTTATGCATATGAGGGCTGGACAATGAATAAGGAAGACTGCAGAAGAATTGATGCATTTGAGTTGTGGTGTTGGTGAAGAATATAGAAAGTACCAGAGACTGATAGAAGAATGAACAAATCGGTCTGGGAGGAGGTACAGCCAGAATGCTCTTAGAAGTGAGAATGGCCAGACTTTGTCTTTTGTGCTTTGGTCCTGTTGTCAGAAGGAACCAGTCCCTAGAGAAGGATATCATGGTAGGTAAAGTTGAGGGTCAGCGTAAGAAGTGAAGACCCTCAACGAGATGGATTGACACAGTGGGCTCAAACATGGTAATGATTGTCAGGATGGCACAGGCCAACAGTGTGTTGTTCTAGTGTACAAAGCGTTGCTGTGAGTTGGAGTTGGCTCGATGGCATCTAACATCAACAGTAAATGAAGTGCTCACTGGTGGACACGGTACTTTGAAGCAAGCTCATCAAACATAGATCTAATGTGACAAACTACGATCTCTAAATCGGCATTTTCCAAACACTGGTCGTTCCATTACCAGCTTGCTCAGTTTCTCAGGTCTGCATGTCACCTGCATATTATTTATCATTTTCTTTAAATCGATTCACTGTTTACAACTTAACTGTCTGCCCCAGTTTTCTCATTTGTCCAATGGGAATTATGTTATCCGTCCTCCGTAGAGTCATTGTGAGGAATAAGTGAGTTAACATTTTAAAATTCCTCTAAACAGACAGTGGGCAGATAGTAAGTGCTTTGTTTGTTATAGGAGCTCTGGTAGTGTAGTGCCTAAAGCACTTGACTGCTGAGAGGAAGGCTGGTGGTTCAAACCCACCAGCCACTCCTTGGAAGGAAGGTTGGGCAATCTACTTCCATAGTGATACCGCCTCAGAAACCCAAGGAGGAGTCGCTATGAGTCGGGTCTGACTCCATGGCACATAACAATAACAACAACATGTTTGTTATATTAATGGAAGAGAAAACCAAAACAAAACAAAAAAAAAACACCCCACTGCCATCAAGTCAATTTCAATTCATAGAGCCCCTATACACAGAGTAGAACTACCCCATAGTGGTTCTAAGGCTGTAAATCTTTACAGAAGCAGACTGCCTCATCGTCCTCCTGTGAAGTGCTGGGGGATTCGAACCGCCAACCTTTTGGTTAGTAGCCAGATGCTTTAACCACAGTGCCACCAGAAAGAGAAGGTGTGAGGAAAAATGCCATGAGAGCTTAGAAAAAGAGAGACCAAGAAAAGCTCCTGAGAGAAAGAAAGCGCTATTGGAACAGATGGATGCTGTACTTGTGGAGGAGGAATGGGAGGAAGTAAGGGGAGGATGGCGCAGAGAAGCAATATGTGACCTTCGCCCTTTTGGGTTGTTATTATTGATGAAAACAGCCACCATTCACTGGGAGCTTACTGTGGGCCAAGCTCTGGGTTGAAGGCAGTATCTTATGTATCCCTTTCAGGGAGGGACTGTTCTTAATTCATCACCTCCCTTTCATAGCTGGGGACACCAAGGCTGAGGGAGAGTCTGTAAGCGTGGGTTGAATGATGTGTCTCGTCATTCTGCAGCCCCTACCAGCTAACCACTACCCTGAATTTTGTGTGTATCACTGTCTTGCTTTCTAAAAGCAATTTAATCATACATGTACGTATTTCTAAGGAGCTCTGGTGGCATAGTGGATAAACTATTTGGCTGCTAACCAGAAGGTCAGCAGTTTGAACCCACCAGCTGTTCTGCAGAAGGAAGACTTTGGTAAAGATTTATGCCTCAGATACCAATGGAGGTCGCTATGAGTTGGAATCAACTTGATGGCAGTGAGTTTTTTTTTTTTTTTTAATGTATTTCTAAGCAATATATTGTGTAGTTCTGTTTGTGAGCTTTATAAAAGGATATCCTTTATAAGCATACCTCAGAGATATTGCAAGTTTGGTTTCAGACCACTGCAATAAAGCAAGTATCACAGTAAGGTGAGTCCCATGAATTTTCTGGTTTCCCAGCATGTAAAAGTTATATTTACAGTATAAACCAAAAACCAAACTCACTACCATGCAGTTGATTCTACTCATAGCAACCCCTCCTTGGGTTTCCGAGGTGGTATCTCTACAGAAGTAGATTGCCCAGTCTTCCTTTGAAGGAGTGGCTGGTGGGTTTGAACCGCCAGCCTTCTGGTTAGCAGTCAAATGCCTTAAACACTATGCCACCAGAGCTCCCATATACAGTGTAGTCTATTAGAGGAGCTCTGCTGGCTCAGTAGTTATGGCGTTCAGCTGCTAATCTAAAGGTCAACAGTTGGAACCCACCAGCCCCTCAACAGGAGAGCAATGAGGAAGTCTGCTTCTGAAAACATTTACAGCTTTGGAAACCCTAGGGCAGTACTACTATATCCTACAGGGTCACTGTGAGTTGGGATAGACTCGATGGCAATGGGTTTGGTTTTTGGTTTTGGTAGTCCATTGGAGAAGCTCTGGTGGTGCAGTGGTTCAAGAATTCAGCTGCTAAACAAAAAGTTGGTGGTCTGAACTTACCAGCCACTCTGCAGGAGAAAGATGAGGCAATCTGTCTGGAAACCCGATAGGGCTGTTCTGCTCTGTCCTATAAGGTTACTGTGAGTCAGAATGGACTTGATGGCAGTGGGTTTTAGGTAGTCTATTAAGTGTGCAATAGCATCATGAAAAACTTTGAAATAATGTGAAAATTATCAAAATGTGACACAGAGACACGAGGTGAGCACATGCTGTTGGAAAAATGGTGCCAATGGACTTGCTTGACACAGGGTTGCTATACACCCTCAATTTGTAACAAACAAACAAAAAACACAATTATCTATGAGGTGCAATAAAGCAAAGCAGAGTAGAATGAAGTATGTCTGTAGACATTTTTTCCACTCAGTGTTATGTTTCTAAGATTCATCCGTGTTAATATGGCTGAAGCAGTAGGTCTTTTTTCCCTTTCTTTCTTTTATTGTAAAATAAACAGAGCATACTATTTGCTGTTTTAAACATTTTCAAGTGTATAATCCTGCAGCATCAATCACACTCATAATGTTGTGAAACCACCACTACTATTTGTTTCCAAATTTTTCATCACCCCAAGCAGAAATTCTGTCCACTAAGTAATTACTATGTTTCCACTTCTTATTCCTTAAGTGTTCAAAAGCTTGATACAATTTTGCAAAATGTTCTCTGTTTCAGATGGAAAGTGAGTAATATACAACAAAAGATACACCCGTTCAACATTTCTACACAGTTCAGTGGCAATAGCTACATACTCTGCATTGCGTCACATTCTTATTTCTCTACCCATCTGGTTTCACCACCATTAACTTGGACTCTCTGGTCTTGAAAGTTCTTGTCTTGTGTTTTAGAGTTACCATTGTCAAACTGATCCCATAATTCTCAGCCAATTCTTTAAAAGAGCACAATGTAAACATTCTTTATTAGTTCAGCTAAATTGTTTAGTTTAAGGATGACTTCATGAGACAGTTTGGTTCAAGGTTTAAAGTTTATTTCCAAACAATAGATTGGGGAGTTTTCCCACTCTCTATGGATCCAGTAAGTCTGGTTCCTGTAAGAATTTGAAGTTCTGTTCCACATTTTGTTCCCTTTTGATCAGGATCCATCTATTGATCAAAATGGTCAGTAATGGTAGCAGGCACCATCTACTTCTTCTGGTTTTGTGGTGGTGAAGTTTGTGTGTCAGTTTGGCTGGGCCTAGTTGAGTGGCTGGGCAGCTGGATGTTGTACTCCCCATGATGAGACTGGTAATCAACTCTATGGTGGAATCTACTGTGAGCAGCTGAGTAGTTGCCTTAGGGATGTGGTCTGCTTCCTGTATATAAGGAGAAGCCTTGAAAAATGGTCTGTAGCTTATGGCACACTTGAATCCTGCATGTAGCTGTGTCATTGTTCAGCAGCCTGCCATGCTCTGCCGACCTTGGGACTTTCGATGGACTTGAATTAATGGCCTGCCGTGTGGTTTGGTAACATCAGGACTGTGCCTTGTTACTTATCCACCTTGGGTTTGTCAGCCTCAGCAGCCAGCAGCTAAGTGAAGAAAAGCCTCCAGCTTCAGTGGGCCGGGAGCAGGAGGCAGAGCTGAAGCCCAAGGTTGAGGGGCTTTCACCCAGCCCTTAGAGCCTTGCACTTTGAACTCAGACTTAAAGCCTTCAAACTGTAAGAGAATAAACTCCTGTTTGTTCAAGCCATCCCATTGGTGGGATATTCTTGTCAGAGCGGCACTAGGGAACCAGAATAGGTCTCATGGCAAAGTAGATAGTAGAGTTCACAGAGGCAATGAGACCTGCAGTCCATTTCCTTCCTCAATTCCAGGGTTGCCTTCTTCCCCTGCTGCACCAGGAGAATAGGGACCAAGTGTTTTTATTTTGGGTGGCCACTTGATGGGTTTTAAGACCCAGGCCCTACTCACCAAAGTAGGAGGTAGAACAGAAATTCCAAAGACAAAGTTAGGTCAATTGACTGGATAGACTCATGAAACCATTACCCTAAACCTTTGACCCATGAAAATTAATCCTGTGAAGTGTTTTGGTACCTAAGTAGTATCAATACTGCAGCATTTTTTTTTTTTTCTCATTTGACTGCTGCTATTATAAAATTATATATAAGACTATATTTGTCATTGTACACTTTTTTTTTCCTGGTGTATAGCTTAGTGCTATCAGTTACATTAGTTAAGTTGTATAACCATTACTCTGAGTCAGTG